GAGCACAAATTTGAGCATTTAAATTACCTAAACAATTTATTTTATCATTGTCAAATAACAACTTTAGGCGGTTTGTTGTATCAGTATACGATTGGGCTAAATTAAATAAGTCATCAATTGCATATTTAAATTTATTGAAACCAACAAAATCTTCTGGTATTTCACCATGTGTAGACGTATTGAGATTACTTAATTCAATGACATCATTGGGCATAAAGTAAAGCCAAAATTCATTCATTTTTGACATCAAATCTTGTTTTATTGAATGCATAACCATTCCATGAACAAAATTGTTGAGTTTATTTTCTACAATAATATTTTTTATTGCAAGAAATTGTTCATCATCACATTGTTCAGAATTCTGTAAAATAAATAAGCCAAGTATTGTTATATGAAGATCATATTTAATTGTTAGTACTAATTACTAATTACTAAAGATCGGATTTATATACATTTTAAATTGTAAAATATGCATGCAGACACACACTAAAAAAAGTCACAATAGGCAAGAAAAAATGCAAAAAATGCAAAATTAAATTTCAATTTTGCAGTGTTAACTATATATTAATTGTATTAAAATTCTTATAAACAAAAAAGTAAAATGTATAATATATATTATAACAGATATTGAGATATGTAGTACAAAAATGTAATTTGTTTAATTTTAATTTAATTTTTAATCGTTAATAGATTAATGTATTGGAAACTAAGTAGATAACATTTTAGTAAGTATGACAAATTTCTTCTTTGAACCGTAAAATATTTGATATATAAACGTACGTATCTACCTATAATCTTTTTTTTTTTGCACAACACCTTTTTGGATGGTTGGGTCTATATTTGTATGCTTTTTTGTTAAAATATGCACAAAAATGCAGACCATGCAGTATACACTAACCACGGAATATGAAAAATATGCAGCATAAAATGTTGATATTTAATCAATCATGTAATGATTTATGGACACTCATTTGCTATTTGCTGCATGTATATGAGGTTGAAAATAACAACATGCATTTTATGAAAAATCCAGTCTTTACTTATTACAATTAATTACAGTTAATACGGTTGATTGTGCCTCACAAAAAGTTGTTGGACTTTTTAATTTCAAATGTAAATCAAATTAAACTTAAAACCAAATTTAATGCATTCATTACAAATTACAATCATACTAACCTCCTTATCTTTTGATAATATTGGAAATGCTAGAACAATAAGATTCCAGTACGATTTTGTTGGGCTTGTATCCATTTTGTAAAGTTATCCAAACATTTAAGTAACAAACAAAACAAAGATCTCGATTTCTATATAATATTTGGAAAAAAATATTAAATTAAAATGACAATCTATAATTTAACATAATAAACAATAGCACATACCTAATTACCTAACTAATATGTATTTAAAAACTTAAATATTGCCATAATGCCGTTCAATAAATTAAATTATAAATAAATATTTCTAATTTCTAAAAAACAAAATAATAATCCATGTTTGAAAGTTTAAACCTGAGTCCTGACTGGCTGACTAGTTTGATTCTGATAACAAGCAATCTGGACGCGCAAACGTTATCATAAAAACACACTATCTTGTTCTATCATAGAACAATTTGATTTCTATATTGTTCTATGATTTCTATTCTGTCATGACTCATGATTATAGAACAAGTCTTGATAATATAACAATTATTATATCATGTATTCTGAGATGCTACCCACCCTCACAGAAATATTATAAAACAGCCATGGTTGAAATCGCAGAACAATGTTGAAAAATATAACTTACGAGGAACCTTGTATTTAATTTTAAATTTTTTGACTCATTGATTTTTGTCTAGATTAATTAAAAATAAAACTAATCATAATTCATATACGACAATTTCATATGTCTACTATAAATAGCTCAACATGAGCCACAATATTTTGAAAATGTTATGATTTATATAAAATGTTAATATAAACATTTATAATTCTTTTAGACAAAATTTCATGTATCTATAATACGATGAAGCAGGGTATTTTTCTGACTGCACAAACTTATTCCCACTCTTGTGTTATAGTAGGGAATTTGTTTACGTAGACCAAACCCTACGAACTTTTATCTGTTTAACTGTCAGGGGTGGTAGGCGGAAAAAAATCCCACGGAAAAAAAGCCCAAGGAAGAAAAGCCCAGAAATAAAGCCTAGAAATAGAAATAGAAATGTGAACACATGTATACTCTACTCCTAATGCCCTAATTAGTAATTACCATATACCTATAACAAAATATAATTATGTATTATATATTATAATGAAAATAATAATTAATTGTTCATTGTATACAATATAGATTGTAAATCTAACAAAAATATAAATATTAACACAACATAACATAAGTCTTAGTAATTGTTAATTGTATAAGAGGCCAATATAGTCAAATATAAAGAAAATCTTAAAATTTCAAATATAAATAATTATATGTCTGAATATGAACTTTGTTCTATCGAAAATATTATAAGATCTTCTTTTTCGTTTCTCAAGATTATAGTTTAATTAGTTTATATAGGGGGTTTGATACTGCCATGAACCACTGATGAAAAACCTGTCAATAAATTGCATTTTTACAACCCAACTATTGATAAGCCTTTTGACATTTAATTTAATTTATATTGCTCGGTACTTACCAATATAATTTATATATATATATATTATATAACCAGTCAAAATGTCTACACTCCATATAGTACTCCATTACTTGGTTGTTAGGTTAGGTTAGGTTTATTATAATATCATTTGTCACAGTCAACTCACAGAAAAATTCAAGCTTCAGGTCTAGAACAATTATACCGTGAAGACCCTAACCTAACTTCACAAAATTCTGTGGAATGTTAGATGGTTTAGCATTCTTACCTCTAACAGATGTTTATTATGATGATTATTATCTGCTCTCTTAATATATTAAATTACCTCCGGTTTTGTAATTTTTGTATACATTTTAGTATAAAGTTTACGTTTTTTAATTTATAAATTATTCTACTATGTATATACCTAAGACTGATGTTTTTAGACTCATAACTTATAACACAATAAATCATGACGTATACTTAATATTGTGTTCATATTTATATTTTTATTTGATTTACAGTCTATATTTTATACAGTTATCAATTAATTATTAATTTCATTATAATATATAATATATAATTATATTTTGTTATAGGTATATAGTAATTACTAATTAGGTCATTAGGAGTAGAGTCTACATGTGTTCACATTTCTATTTCTATTTCTGGGCTTTTTTTTCCCAAGGGTGGATCCAGGGGGAGGGCCCCCTCCTAAATCTGTATTTCTAAACAATTTTATACTGCTAAAAACAAAATTGCAAAAAAAAATCATCATCATTTTCTGAAAATTTTGATTTAGTCACCTCCTTATCATGTTTCTGGAGCCGCCCCCCATGTAGACTGTGCCGGCGATACTACTTAGTACAATAGTACCTACTACCCTACTGTCTACTGTATTCTGTATACTGTACTATCTATATTTTTTACTTTCATGAGACTGCTTATAGGTACTCAAAACGATATATAAAAGCATATAAGTCCCGACTCTCTCATGATATACCAAATAAATTACTTTATATTAATGTACTATTTTTATTGTAGATTTGTAAATAATAATTTTATATTTTGTTTGTAAATATAAGTAATAATGCTTACTAATTAAAATTTACTTGAAATAGGTAATTCTTAATAATAATTGTTTATAAAAATAAAAACCATCAATTGACTTAATTTTTTTTAACTGACCTAATTTCTTTATAATTTTTGTAATATACTTTTATATTAAATAATAGTCAAAATGATAATTTTGACTGAATCAAAATTCGTCTAGACTACTAAGTAACAATTTTCACTGCACAATTACTTTTCTCACTGCACAAAATGTGTCTCACTGCACACTAAAAATACCCTGCGATGAAGTATTTGATATTTTAAAGTAAAGTTTTGAGCATTGAATTAGGTAAGCCAACAAACTTCTGATGAATTTTTTTCATATGAAACAAACTTTGAAATTACCTTCTTAAAACAAGATCATTTGTCTAGCAATATATATACATTTTGGAGCAGCCATGGCCCATGGGTAAATATGATGAGAACGTTATTAGCAATCAAAGTTCATCTTTACCAATATCTTATGCAATCCATCCTTCTATATTGGTGCTTAATTAATGTGCTCATATTTATAGGTCTGTACAATGTGTATGAGTAGGTACCCATCGCCAAGATACACTTCGCGTGGAGAGCCAGACGTGCATTACTCTTAAATGGATATCAGAGGTTGAGGGGGCTTAGCCCCCACAAAGTCCTTAATTTTTATATGAAAACTACTGGGAAATTACTGTTGACCCCCAGTGTCGGATCCAGGGCTTAATTTTTTTTGGTGGGGGGAGGGGATGCCCCCTTTGCCCCCCCAGGTACCAACTAGATTCACTGCCTTACCAAAAGAGATGCCGTTGAAAATTGAAGCAATTTTACTGTCCAAAATGTTGAAGATTCATAAAAATAAAAAAAAAAACATGATTGTAAAATCTGTACATTCATCGCTCCACTCAGAATCTAAAATGACATTACTAATATTTACTAATTATTATTATTATTTATTATTAACTTTTTGCATGCTACGGATCTGTCATCCCTACCATAGTATATCCAGCAAAACCAGTAAACGACGTAAACATATCTATGCATAAGACATATCAATCTCAATCTCGGAATACTTATAAAAGTAAGAAAATCTATTATGTTTTGCATTAAAATGGTGTAAGCAATATTAAAATGATATACAAATATTTAACAGGATAGATACAATAATTGTATTGTATATTATTCAAGAATCTCATATGATATAACTGATAAAATACTATTTTATTTTCAACAGTTGGTTTCTAAATAAAAACCTCATAATTACTAAATAATATGATAACATTAACCAACTTAAGAAAATATTTGTATACAAATTTCACATTATTGAACAAAATGATTTATTATCTATTTCTGCATTACACTCATCAAATGTATCCTTTAATGTTGAATTTTGTCTTCGTTTTGCTATATAATCTGGCAATGGTTCATTCCAGTTTTCTGGTGGACTAGTTCTATTTTCCCATACATTATTAGCATAGTATGATTTCCATCGATTGTTTCTCTTTTTTTTTTCACTATTAACCAATGTTTCCTTTAAAAAGAACAAATTTTTAGTATTATATTTTTTAAGTAAATATGTAACAAGGATAATATTATATCCTTAAATTTAGTTACAGCTGCTTGAATATTTTTGTCATTTTTCCATTTTAAACAATTTGTATAGTCTGCATGCCAATGGTTGCAATCTATTGTACTTCCATGAACAAACATCTGATGTAATCTTGATGATATTGAAGTACACTCACCATACTCAGTGTTATACATTTCACATGGACGTATCTGGAACAAATATTCTTGTCAACATAAAAAGTCATTTAAACATATTAATAGAAATATTATGTATGTTAGTATATAATATATAAATATACTACTACAGTACTACTTAAATTATGTTAAATCATTAAACATTTATTGAATCAATAGTGAGCTAATGGTCCCTTAAACATGTTTTAATTGACAATTTTATTGAACCATTAAATTAATTAATAAATCGGTATAATTGCAGTTTAGCTACCACGAGATTTTTTCAAATTTTTTTTTCGAAACCTAGGTAAATCAACGTTTTAAAAATGATGGTGCCAAAAAAAAATTGCGCAAACTCTTAGTTTTTGAGTTATAACTGTTAGAAATTCAAAAATTCCCAAATATTGCATTTTGAATTTTGAATTTTTTTGTGGTAGACTTATGTATTTTGACTATTTAAAAATGATGGTGCAATCAGAATTTGTCGATCGAATTGAGTTTGAAAGTTATAGCGGTTTTAAGTTAAAAATTTTGGATTTTTAAAGAAAAATTTTTTTTGTTGAACCAAGGCGCCAAGTGAGGTAGTTGCGCCTTACCTGCTCCGGTTATATTTTTCAGATATATAATTTCTCTGAATCCAAATATCGTAAATATAAATGTTTCTGTAATTGGCAAAAAACAACTTTGTTTAATTCCGAGGTTCACCTGAGGTGGTTTTACACAACAAATCGGGGGATATTTTCGATTTGCGGAGCGGAGCGATGGCGCCGAGGAGCGTAGCGACGAGTGCCAATACACTCGTGATCACTGCAACTTTTAACTTTCATAACTTAAAACTGCTATAACTTTCAAACTAAATTCGATCGACAAATTCTGATTGCACCATCGTTTTTAAATAGTCAAAATACATAAGTCTACCACAAAAAAAAATTCAAAATTCAAAATTTGGGAGTTTTTGAATTTCTAACAGTTATAACTCAAAAACTAAGAGTTTGCGCAATTTTTTTTTGGCACCATCATTTTTAAAACGTTGATTTACCTAGGTTTCGAAAAAAAAAATTGAAAAAATCTCGTGGTAGCTAAACTGCAATTGTTCCAATAAATCTTTTATGCAACCCGGCATTAAAATTGAATTCAAATGGTTAAATATGAATCTAATAAATCAAATGTTTATAAAATACAAAACATACATAATAGTGTACTCCTTAATTAGTAATTATTAAAATTCTTATTTTCTATATTACCATAGAAAGATTTTATAGTTACCATCCATAAATCCAAATCTTTTGGTTTTGTGTCTGTATTTTCCTCGTTCATATCTTTAATTTAAATAATTGATCTATTTATTTAGTCTATACTCTATTACAATAAAAATAAAAATAAATTTAATACTCGTATGTCCCTATAAAACTATACAGTATTCTAAACCATATATTGTATATTAAAATAATTAGTATTCATATATTCTGTGTTGAAAGTAAAATGTTTTATTAGTTGTTATTAAATGCTTAAAATTTTAATTATTAAACTTTTAACACACTAACACAGAATAACTTAAATTTTATATTGTAGGTATTTTACTATTTTCTGAATTCTGATATTAATTTTCATTTTTCAAGATATACCTTTAATCATAGAACAATCGTGCCGGTATGAATTGATAAGAAAATATTATAAAAAAAGTCAAAGAGCTTTCTTATTTTAATCTTTGAACCACGGTTTAAGAAATATAAAGGTATATCTACAACCGTGCTTTGAACGTTTTTGTATGTGATAACATTCAGCAGATCTCACTATCTCGGAAAGATAACAAGAATTGTATGTTTTAAGTTTAACTTTTAACAAGTTATGAATTCACTTACCTAATTCCTATATATTATACTATATTTAAATCAATAAATAATATTAAATTTTTCTAGTTCCTAGTCTTTAATAAATATGATTTGTAATTCATTTAAAGTTTGTATTGTTTTGCTATCAATTGTATTGGTAAGTTTGCCTAATGCTAATGGACAATCAGAATCGAACCGAGAACTCTATGACATCGAAGGTACAGTTATGCTGCCCAACTTAACAACTTCCTGGTTGGCCGAAACTGTTATACAACTTAAAGGAGGAGAAGCTGTCGGTTTTCTTAGGTAAAAATATTTTGCACAATGTGCAAAGTTTACTTTTCAAATAATTTAGGTACACTTCATTAAAATATATTACTTGGTTTGGGAAAATATATTTTTGAAGTTTTTAAGATTATAATTTATTACCTTTTGATTGATATTATTAAAAAAAAATGCTTCATGTGTTGCAAGTTATAATTTATGTGTAAATAATTTTAAGTATGTACCAAATATATTATACTACCTATATTCTTACAAAACTCTAGCCGCTTTCCAATTTTATTCATATTTAAGTCAAGTATGTAAGAGGTACTCCTTACTGTTTATTTTACAAAATGTTTAATAGAATATTATTTCCCTACTTATAAATGTTGTTTTAATTTTTATTAAATATCTACCTTAATTAAATAAGTTTTACATTTTGCAGGAAAAATGGTTCTTTTCTTATATCTAAAGTACCATCAGGATCATATATTGTTGAAGTAGTCAATCCAAATTACGTCTATGAACCAATTAGAGTGGAAATCAATTCAAAAGGCAAATACCGCGCCCGCAAAGTAAATTACATTCAGTCATCTCATGTGCATCAGATGCCTTATCCGTTAGAGTTTGTCAACTACATGCCTGCCAAATATTTTTACACTAGGGAACAATGGAAAGTCACAGATTTTCTTTTCAATTCAATGGTAATCCTTTGTTTTTCAATTTTAAGCAGACATCAGTTACCTATATAGAGTTAATTTAAATGAATAACTATTTTAATGTTAAGGTGTTAACGATGGTGTTGCCTCTTCTTGCAATATTGGTTTTGCCGAAATTAATGAATGATCCAGAAACAAAGAAGGTTTGATTTTTGTTTACTTTTATAAAATATTAACAGATATAGTACGCTTAAATATTTTTTAGGAAATGGAACAATTGACAAACTTAAAACACGATATGCCCGAAATGTCTGAAATGATAACCTCTTTCTTCACTGGAAATACACCAACTGCCGAGAAACAAAAAGAAAAAACCAAGGCCATTAAGAGTTCAAAAAAATCCAACAAGAATAATTAATGTACAAGTGTAAATTTACCAAAATTATGTTAAGGTTAGCTATTTTGTACATAAATATAAAATCATAAAAAAAATTAATAATAGTACGTGTTTATACAAAACTGTTATATAAATAGGTTGACATAATATGTATTATAAATATACACATAATATTTCTATAAACATGTAATTGGAAAAAAATAAATTTTTTTTATAGAATTAAAAAGAATACAATATAATATATTTCAGTTTATAACAATTCTTTATTTGTATATGGACATGACATTGTCGCTTATATTCCAATTTATTGCAAATGACAATATATATAAAAAAAATAGCAGAATAAATGGAGTTAACAATACTTCAGTTTTTTGCAAGATGGGTAAACCTGGAAAATAAAAATGAAAACATTCTTATTAAACACAATAATCTATGAGCGTTAAGATGTTTCTGTAAAATAATACAAAATTCATTAATGTTATATTTTTCAATTACTGATTCGCAGTAAAAAAAGTTATTGAATCACGGATAGTGCAACAACACTTTGGGAACCATTGTTATTTTTATAAAGAAGAATTCCCACATGATATTTACAGAGTACTAGAATTGTTTTTTTACCATATATTCAAATAAGAAATAATTTTTTTCTATCGAACGTCTTATTTTGTCTTAGCATTATGACCGTATGCATTATAAATTTGTGTGTCACATAGGACAGTTTAACAAGTTTTATGTGACACATTAATTGACTAAGCATACGGGCATTAGTGTATAATAAATTAAATAGATGAAGTCTAATATTAAATACTTTAAAAATATTGATTCTAGTATTATATTGTTTATTGATAAGTCAAACAAATTAAACATTAGATAACTGAAGGGTGGGCGGGAATAACGTGCTATGTAACATTTTTTCAATTTTCATGTTTTCGCGGAATAACATGCTATGAAGCAATCTCGATATATTTTAAGAATCGAAAAATTCCCAGAATGTTTTTATCGTACACAATCATCGTGTATATACTTCGAAACCGGCTAGGTAATGTATAATACAGTTTTCGTTTTTAGTTGTTCCTGAACATTTACGAATTGCTACATAGCACGTTATTCCCGCCCACCCTTCAACTGTTCATGCACATGAACATTTTAAAAATACAAAATATTTAATACTTACAGCTGTATCCTAAAAATGTTATATACAGGTAATAACCAATTGCTATAAGCCATAGCGTGTTGCCAATAAATAATGGTAAGAACCAATCGTGTCTGAGAAATACTAAAGAAAAAGAAAATTAATAATTAATATTTTTATATAATATAAAATAGAACATGTTTGCATTTGTTTGTTATATTAGTTTTAAGACTTATTTTGCGTATTCCTCCTTAACATTTTAAACTTAAACAGTAAATACCATTATACCAATAAATTGTACATAAACTGAATGTGAGCAGTGCTCAAAATTGGAAAAAAAAATTAGCGTTCCTGACAATAATTTATCTCAACCTAACCCCTGGGGGGCTACGAAAACCACCATCAACTACATTAGACATATAACACACCAATGCCAATAACATTTACCAACAATCGATAAAATATTATTTTACTTCTCATTTATAAATAAAAATAAAAAATAATGTTACACATTATTAAATATTAACACTTAAAGTTATACCTAACTAATTAGGTAATTCATTAAAATTTTTAAGTCACACCCATAATTGATCACAGTGTGGCTCACTTCAGTATTATCCTAATACTTTAAAGAACAATACACCCAATACTTGGGTGTATCCATTATCAAACAGAAACATAATACTTAAACGAAACACAAATAATTTAAAATTTAAAATAAAAGTTCAATGTAAATTAAGATTTAAAGGAACACAAAAAAGAATGTTTTTAAATTTTTTTTAAATGTTAATTATTATTTATATAATGAATAAAAATATAAACATTTTAATTTACGGATAAATGTTTGATTATATGTGTTTAAGATGATAAAAGTATCAGAATTTCAATATAAAGTTTAGTTTTTTAAATATTAAAAATCTTAAAAGTGATATTTTTGTGAAACGGCGTGTTATGGCGATTTAAATATAAAACGAAAATTCAAAAATATCTCTTAAGATTTTTAATACTTAAAAAACTAAAATTATATTGAAATTCTGATACTTGCATTGTATAAAACCACACATATAATAGTAAATTACATTTTTAGGTTGGTAAATTGTTGTGTAAAGCAAGAAACTTTTACAAGTATAAGAAAGGCAATTATGATGAGACACACCCAATGACATCACACTTATTTTTTCAATTACTCATAACTTATTATCAATTGTCATTCAAAAAAATCATAAGTTTAATTTTAATGTCCTATTAAATAGGTACAACTTTACGAAGACATGAAATAAAAAATACAATATTATTTCAACGAAATAAAACGTTCCGTTCCCCCATTCTAAAGAAAATAACTAAAGAGGGTACACTCAAAATATAAAAAAAATAGAAGAGGAGCTTCATCTCCCTCCTCCATTTCGAGCACTGAATGTGAGTAACCCTTATTAAACATTCAAGGCTTTCTTAATGATACATTTTACAGTTAAGGAACACTGACATATATTTTAATAATTATACTACATATAATTATACTTTTAAAATTATACGTTTTTGTTATTTGCACAACACGCTTAAATCTTTATAAGCAGTGACACACTTGAAATAAACCTGTGTACCTAAATTACTATTATATTTAAATTTACTTCATTAAAAATAAAAATGGTAAAAATAATTTTTTTAGTGACACATCATTGTACTCAAGGGTTTAACTATTATCTATATTCTAAATTAATAAAGCTGTAAATAATACATATGAAAAAAAAAATACATACTGTGATAGAAAAACAATTGAAATATATGAGATATTACTAATGTTGGCACAAAAGCATTTAAATGTATATCAAATGCATAAGCCCATTCAACATCTTGTCCTTTGTAGTTGGACTTAATTAAATATCTGTTGGCTACTAACCTGTAAATTATAATAAAATATTAATAATAATATAGGAGTGAACATTCCGTACATTGAGAACTGAGAAGGGTAAAAACATGGTTTAATTCAACCACAGGTAAAGATCATTTAAATGGTTTGGGTATAATGAGCATTCATCATCAATCATTCAACTTGTACAACGATAGTTTCATTGAGGATGTCATTAGTATTTATTATGTTTGGAATAAAAATATAAAACGAAGAAATTTGTACTTTTTATTTACCGATACCGAATAATACATTTTATCGTATTTGATACTCTATTTATTGCATTCTGTTCTTATTGAAATTTATTTTAACTAACTATACGACAATATATTATACAAATATCAATTATTAATACATTGATAAGTTGAAATAACATTAAACCATTATCATTATTGAGGTAACATTTGAAATTTTTTTTATTTTGCCTCCCATCCTCCTAAAATTTTATCTCTTTGTACCGTTTGCTCATTGTACACAATTTAATAGTATTCAACATGCTATTAATAAAAAAAAAAATATGAAAAGATCTGAGATAAATATTTTTAAAATATGTGGAAAATTATAAAAGAAATTTAATTTAAGGACTATTACTTCAATATTGGTTTTGGTTGATTTGTTCACAGACATCAGTAACTGACTTTCATTTTGTTTTAGTAGGGTTTTATCAACAGATAGCCCTTATTTTGTTTTATTGAATAAATTAAAAATACATACCATAACACTGAACTTATTACGACACCGGATAACAAACAGTCCACTGTTACAATATATAATAGAAATTTTAAAAATTCAACAAAACCAAGTCTTAGAACGTAAGTAAATGCTATTGATGAAACTGAAATAAATTAAATTAAATTAAACCATTAGTTAAAAAGGTTATTTGTAAGTAGGTAGTTACCACATAGAAGTCCGCTTAAAAGCACCAAAAATGCAGGGTCATCGCGAGCAAATTGTAGTTTAGTTTCTATGAGAAAAGTTGAAATGAAATGATACAACATAATATTATACTCAATAAAAAACTCTTACCTTTTCTGTGTTGAAAGTTTCGATATACTTTCTGTGGGTTGATAAACAAAAACGTCATTTGCCATAGTGCAAACTCAAAATCCATTTGTTTAAAGTTCGATAATTTCCGCAAGTAGCGGTAGCGTTTCACAGCAGCAGTCATACATGTTCTGCAACATTTTTGGATCTTATATATACTAGTTAAACAAAATAATGAATTAATACATACCGCTGTGTTACTGGTGATGGTAAATATGTCAAAGACGATGTCGATCGGAAAGAATTTACGCTGCTTGGCATTATATTATACGAAACACATTCAAAAATAACAATATAACTAGGTAGGTATTAAATTTTAAAATTTTCTAGTATTTTGAAATAAAATTATTTACCTAAATATTAAAAAAAAAATTAAATTAATGAAGTATTAATCTTTTATTTTTATTTAAATAGGTATAAACTATAAATGTATTAATCATACAGCATTTCCGTTTAGTATAAAGGCATAAACTTTCATAATTAATTTGTCATAAAAAAATATTTATTTCATTTTTTTAATATTAACCACAGACCACAGATAATATTCTGTGATATAACTATTTAGAATTTAGTATTTACCACTGAGATAGATAAGATATAAACACGGCCATATAGATAGGTCTGGCAACTCGACGATTTTCGTGTGCCGTTATTGTATACGGGATCGGGGGAATGCTATGTGGCGCTATCTACTTACAAATTAATGACATACTATATAGTATAGAACTCTATACTATGAATGTAGATAGCGCCACTTAGCATTCCCCTGTGATCGCCTACACCACGGCCATATATTAATAGTACCTAGTACCATTATACATATGATATTATTATTATAATAATATAATACCTATTGTATTTCATTTTTATAAAACTTTATTAAATGTATGTTGCCTGTGTTACCTACTGAAATTGAATTAGACGTCTGGAAAGTGGAGAATAAAAAGACAAATGACAAAGTATAATATTATTAATTATGCATAATAAATAGTAACAAGTAATATCTTTAATATAGGTATAGTTGTTTAACACTTTAACAACAATGTATAAATATTAACATATAAACTTAAAACCTTTATGTAGTACAGAATTTTGATAGTTTTTTTCTTTTTTGATTTTCTTTTTGATTATTTTGATTTAGCTGCTTAGTAAATTGGCGCATACGCATATTGATATAGTACCTTATGGAGTAAGTAATTATTTCGTCTTTGTGTTGACGACAAGGGAAACCTAAACATTCATTAGTCAATATATCTTCAACTACTTCTTCAAACACATAAGGACTATCTATGTGAAGTATAAAATATTCTTCAATCTTAAAAATAAAGTGAAAAAATTTCTTATTTGGGTGTATCAGTTTTCCCCTAGACTTCAATTCTGTCAATTCAGACTCAGGACCACGATTATGTAGATGCTCAGGACCTTGAAGTTTACTATTCAAAATTATAGATTCTTTACATACACTACATTGACTATGCTTTAATATTTGCTTACACAAATATCCTGTTACATAATATATTAAACAATCTATTACAGGTGCGTATGAATAATCATGTTCTAATATATCTGTAAACTCCCACAAATCTTCGAGTAGAATGTCATCTAATTTTCTTTTTAATGTTCCTAATGCAGATTCACTGCATATATAATATGTGTTATCTGTTATATGTTATCTGTGTTATATAATTTTTAAAATTCCCCAATTTGATACATAATAAAATATATTATGTATATATTAGAGGGAATAGACTCCTGCATTAAACTTGAAACTAAAATTGCAAAGCATTGTGAAAATAAGTAAAAGTTCTTCTAACCTAACCTCCGCAGCTTTTGTTTTTTATTTCCTATATATATATGGCCACAGTTATTAAATTAATTTCTGAAACTGAAGTAAAGTACAATACCTACTTTGAAGCTTCTGATGAAGAGCATATACCGACTTTGTATTAGTTGAAAGTGATATATCTGTAGTAGATTTAAATGATTTGGATTTTAAATTGCTAATGCCAGAGTAACATCTTAAGTATAGACAATATTTTTTTGCAATATTTTTGTCTTTCCAGTTAATGTTGGTGTATATGCAAAATTTAAGTAAGACCTTTAAGTAAGGTTTTATGTTAGGTTACTTTAAGTAAGCGATATATAGATATAATGGCCATAGACGGGGAAAATTCAATTTGGCGTGGGATAGTTCTAAACCGGTCTAGTTCAACGAATTTCTTGATATTTTATTATTATGGTATTAAAAATATACTCACTGTACAAATAACATGATTTGTAATAGGGTCTTTAATTTCATTTTGTCTTACAATGTCTGTTGACAAAAAGTGTTTTTCACACAAAACAGTTTTGCCGGGAACTAATGTTTCTTGAGTACCAAAAACCTCTTGCCATTTTTGTGCTCTAACACTATTGATCGGCACTCTAAAAAGTGTTAGATCATTTTTTTCTCTACATATTGAGCATACTCTAGGCATTGTGAATTTATTATGTTCAACAACTAGAAAGTAGTAGAAACTAAAGACTAGTACTAGTATGTCTGTATATTATCAATTAATTTTACCATAAATTAGATAGGTACACAAATAATTTTTAATATTTATATTTAATAATTTTAGATAGGTATATATTATTATATGCCCATAATATCTCCTATAATAGCTTGTATATGATTGTTTCGCCATCTATACCATCAAAATAGTAAATTTGTAATACTTAAAATGCTATACTATGAATGTAGATAGCGCCACATAGCATTCCCCCGATATGCCGTATACAATAACGGCACACTCCGACCACGTACAAACACTGTCGAGTTGCCAGACCTATCTATATGGCCGTGGATATAAATCAGTGCTATTTACAAATGATATGTTATCAGTTTTTTTCAATCAAATCAAGAATATGACAAAAATATCATGACAAAATAGATAGGTATATCAGCAACAATTCGAGTTTTACTCCGGTTAGCGCATCGGACCCATAGACCTTATACTAAGTACTTAGTATAAGCACAGACTATATGAAAAGTTCATATAGTCTGTGGTATAAGGTCTATGATCGGACCCGGCTCCCAACAATAATCGTAGTTCGCCTCATTTCATTGGCCGTTAATTTACCCAGCTAAGGCGGGATCTGACGAATCGTGTATTTGACGAATATCCACAAATACTCAAAAATACATACGGCAAGTAACCGACAATCGACGCGAAGGTGGCGAATACCGAATATTCGTACAAGTACTCCCATTCCTACTACTCGGCGAGTATCCACAAATACCAAATATTCCTCAAATACAGGAGTCGTGGGAATGTGGGATCCGCCTTAACATACCCAAGAAGAATAAACATACGGTGGCCAACCTGGAAATAGCCGGGGTGTGGAGTGGTCGGGTGTGGAGTGGTCGGATAAAGTCCATCGGAACAAATATTTTGTGGAACAAAAGGTAAGATTTGGACCTTAATTAATTTGGAACAAATATATCGTGGAGCAAAGGTTTTGTGGAACAAAAGGTAGTGATCCGACGATGTCGTGTTCAAAAAGTTGCTGACAATGCCTGACATACCTATCCATTTTGTCATGAATCATGATAGGTATTATCAGATTATCTTTACAATAGATTATAGAATATAAGCACGGACCTTAGATCATATACAATGGATGGAGCCACAGCTCAATATGTTGATGTACATGTTAGCGACAAGTCGCCAGTTGTCTGTACCTTTCTGCGCATGCGCGAATGCGCGATCGAGACCTGTCGCATATTTTTCCCAATGATATGATAAAATATATGAACTGATAAGATTAAATTATAATTTTGAATTTCGAATTCCAATTTTCCAACAATAATTTTGGAATGACCAGTCATTGACGTTAGTTATTTTAACTCTATTGTTTTATTTTAATTTATAAAATTGTTTTTGGGATAATGGCACCAAAAAAATGTACTATTGCATGTGTATTTTGTTTGAGTACGCAATACAAAAATCCAAGCATCTCTTTACACTCGTAAGTCGTAAACCTTTTCTAAAATACATATTGCATTATTTTATGTTCTTTTAAAATTGTTAATAATATATTTAATCACATGAAATATTTGGTTTTTTTAATTTATATTGATTGTTTAGGTTCCCCAAAGATCAATCCCGGCGATCTTTGTGGCTTACAGCTTGTGGTTTAACTGAAGATGATTATAAGCCTTCTAGAAAACTATGTTCACAACATTTCGACCAAGATTGCTTTAAAACTGGGACTACTTTGAACATTTTAAAACCGAATTCAGTTCCCACAAAGTTTAACAAACATTCAAAAGAATTTTTTATATCAACGTATGTTAAATTATATTATGATATTTAAATAAATATTTTAAAGTAAAATCAATAAGTATAGGAGCTCTCGTAAGAATATGCCAGAGATGTCTTCTCCCGAGGTGATTTATCAAATTGACGATCAGGCTGTTTCAACTGTGAAATTTGAAACCGTTTCAAACTATGAAATAGAAACCGTTTCAAACTGTGAAATTGAAACTGCTTACAACTGTGAAATGGAAACCGCTTACAACTGTGAAATGGAAACCGTTTCAAACTATGAAATGGAAACTGTTTCAAACTATGAAATAGAATCCGTTTCAAACTGTGAAATGGAAACCGCTTACAACTGTGAAACTTCCCAAATGTATGGTACGTCGTAAACAAATTTTTATTGATGTTCAATTTTAATGTAAGATAACTATGTAATATATTCATATACCTTATACTATGTACTAATACTAGTTATAGATATGAACAAAAACTGGTTTATTATTTAAAATTACTATATACGATTATATAATTAATATGGTTTAATTTTAGATACTCCTAAACGAAAGCGAAAGCCACGTAAGTATTATGTAGGTGATGTAACTACGCCGGACTTGGCCACTCCAAGGAAAGCCAAACGGAATTTCCTTAAGGCTCAATACAAAATAATTGAACAACGAAACAAAATTAAATATTTAAATTTGAAAGTAAGCAGGCTCCGCAAAAGACTGTCGTCTATGGCTGAATTATTGAATCATTTGAAAAAAAAAAATTTTCTAACTGAACAAGCTCATGACACAATTTTGGTAAATTTAATTTCAATTGATATGAATGTTAATTGCTTATGTTGTGATAAATGGTTTGTCCCTCTATGTATTAATAAATAACATAATTAATTTTTTTGTAATTTGTGAATTAAATAGTTTATTGTTAATGTTGTGATAAATGTTTGTCTATCTATGT